GAGTTCTTGCAGATTTGATAGAATGATCACACAGCGGTGATCTTATTGTTAAAAAACTCAATTTAAGTCCCCAAATGTTTTTTCCCAGAGCTTTAGAACGTGTCAACAAATGAATTGTTTGTGAAATTATTCAGTGTAAATTTGATAAAACTTTAAAAAGTCTGTAATGTTTAAGCCATTTAGTGATTTATAGTCTAGTCAGTAATAGTGTAATGAGTCAAGAACCAGGGTGATGTGCTCCACTTTCCAAGTTATAGTAAGGACGCTGGAGGCAACATTCTGGATCAACTGCAGCTGTCTGTTATCAATTATACTGAAGATAAAAAAAAAAATTATTAAGTTTTCAAGCTCCTGTTCAGACAATTGTCCTTTAATCCTGGAGATGTTTTTTTTAGGTGACAGAAGACTTACTTTGCTGCTGTGATATTAGTCTTTGAAGGTTCAGGTCTGAGCCTATAGCTACACCCAGATTTCAAGCCTGATTGGTAGTTTTTAGCTGTAAAAACTGAAGCTGTTTGCACATTTTCTGCCCTGATATGATCTGGATCTTAATGGGCGGCTTTGGTTATGCCTTATTCAGTTGTAGAACATTTTGGCACTTCCAGTCATTGAGTAATACTTTCTATTTATTTATCACTTGGTGACATTGTCATGTATAGATGTGTGTCTTCTTCATCCTTAGGTTAACTTATGTTGTTTTTTGTTTATATTTGAGCATGAAAAGTTAAGGAAATTGTTAGGCTCAGAGATGAACCCTTGGTGATTTTGTAATTTTTTGCTCTCTGAGGTAAAATTACCAAATTATACAAAAAAATCCCTGACCTTTAAATAGGATTTGAATTAGTTCAGAGTTTTCAACCCAGTATTCCAGACGCTCTAATAGAATTAGTGTAAGTGCTGCAATAAGGTCCAAAAATACCAGCCCTGTTCAAAATAGTCTCCTTAGATGTGTAAGTATTTCTTATGCAGACTGTATTGGTAAACAAAAAAAAGTAAAAGTCAGTTTTTATAAATGTATTCATATAGTGATACATTAGATTACCACTTTTAACCTTTTCCTTTAAAGTGGTGGTTGAGTTTATTGCAAATCAGAATGCACTTTCTTATAAAGTGGCACATTTCATGCAATTCTTCAAAACAAATCATGACACTGTTGTCCCACATTGTACACTAAAAACTTATGATGTAATCAAATCACAGGCTTGTTATAATACAGTTTTATCGACTGAAACAGTGAAATGATCCAGCTCCCTGCTGCTGTCAGCCTGCATTCAAGAGATGGAAGGAGACAGCAGGACAGGGGGATAACTTTATCTGCTAATGCCATGTAATTTAAGACGGTGCCCCAGGATGCATGCGCAGTAGCTCATACACTGAACATGCACACATGAAGGGCCTTATCTTCAAACGTATATGAGAAAATGGAACTATAGCCTTACTTTAGGTATAGAAACATACACACATAGTATAGTAGGCATACAGAGTTATTTCTGGGACCTTGGATCAACCTCCATTTTGCCCAGACTGTTTGGAGAACTAAGGCTGAAGACAAAAGGTAGGACTGATCAATAAGACAAGAACTACTTTAACTAAACCAAAGCTCTATCGGTAATTTCTTTATTTAAAGGTTTATCTTTGTTTCTTCCTGTAGTAAGAGAAAAAAGGCAGTGGAAGCTTACAGTAAGTCATAATACATGCATGTTAATGGAATGTTGTGCAGTGTTAGAGTGGTCACACTTTAAAGCATGGTTAGGTAATGGAGAATACCACATGCATAAATGTCACTGGAGAATTCTGTCACTGCTACTCTGGTTGATTTACTATTTGTCATGTATTAAAAAATGTAATCCATGCAGGAAGTTCATAATCTTTAGTTTCATATGTTAATAGTTTTTCACATTGAAATATGTTGCTATCTATGAACCAAAAGAGTTGATGTGCTTAAAGCGTCAGAAGTGGTACTATAATCCTAATGCTGCTCTAAGTCAGAGATATCCAGACCTTTCAGCTTGTGACCCACAAAATAGAGCTAAAGTAGAGTCATAAACCAAAGAATTAATTGAGTATTCAAACAATTCTGCAAAATTAGACACCTAAAATGTATGACTAAATAATACAAACCTTGACCAAACTACTTTAACAAAAACGTTTAGCTTCATTTCTTTTGAGACCACATACTGGTTGATCATAGACGCCAGGTGGCAGTCATGGCCCCAACTTTGGGAATCAAACCTCTAATAAACACCTTTTGTGAGTTGCCTTTATTGCATTTTATTTTGGGGAAACACAGTAAAGCAAACTAAGCTGATATGCAAAATATTTTTCTAGATTTTCTCCTGTAAACATAAAATCAAATATTTTGCTTATTCTCCAGTATTCTGTGTCATATAGGGACTTGCAAAAGCATTACATGTAGATATTTGAATTTAAAACAGGTTTTGTTGGTGTGTTTGAACATGCTGCTGTGTTTGTTTCACTCTTTGTGGTGAAGGTTCACATATATTCTTGGATCAGGGCAAACTAGTCAATAGGCAGTCTTTGGCAGTACATCCAGTTATGGTGAGCCATTAGAACATATAATCTTTTTTTTTTTTTATTATTATTTTGGTTTCCAAGCCATTGCTTTTAGGATTCATCTTGATAAGAAAATACAGAATTATATAAACTTAAATACTTTTTTCTAATTTATCATTAAAATACATTTTAGTACTGTGAATAAACTAAGGTACCGCTAAAAAATCTCAAAAAGATCAAGTCATAAAGATCATAACTTAAAAAAAACATTTTATTATAGAGATAAATTGATTTGAAGATATAATGATTTTTGATTTAAACAAGAATTAATTAAAACTACAAATGAAAAATGGAGAACAGATAAGCGGATCATGGTTTGTCTACAGTGAAAAGAAGGACTGTGTTTTTACTTTTGCAGTCGCCTTCTTGGAAACACAGAAAGGAGCAATCGGCTAAGTGAGCTTAGTGATTGGAAAAAATCCTGCTTTCCTTTTGAGACAACATGAAAAGTCAGCTGAGTATAAAACATAAAGAGGAAAACAACAAGAAATGGGCCAAGAGGAGAGGGGCCAAAACGTAGAACAAAAAATGTATTTCTATACTATTAAAGAATTCTGTATCTGTATACAGTAATGGGTCTGTTTTATGTGTTGTCTTATCAATTCATGGGCCCCCTGCCTGTTTTTGTCCTGGGCCTCAAATTTCCTAAATCTGCTCATGTCTCTAATAACTTTGGAAACTTTGACATTTACATTTTCTAATTAGGAAACAATAAACTAAATCAGATGTTTAGGGAAAAAAAACAAAAAAGCATTTACGTTCAACTTGAACAAATTAAAGCTAAACAATACTCCAAATCCAAACAAACCCAAAGCATCTCCCTCCCTCTCAGTATGTGTGGATTCCCCTTAGGAGGCTGAGTGGAAACACCGGGTTCTTCTCAGCAAAGCTCATGGGGCCGCTTCCATTTGCTCCCATATGGCCAGGTGACCTCAAAGAAAATGAAAGAGGCAAGAATAAAAAGGGTTCTTTAAGTTACAACATTATAGACAAACTTAAACCTTGCGCCATTACCCAATTTTTTAAAAGACAGAAACTGCCTATTTGCAACACCTATTAGTGGTAAATCCCTCACATTTAGATCAACATTGGCTTGTGAAAAAGCTAGAAATAGAAATGTGATAATATGATACAGTTGCTTGCCATACTCCAGCTGACACGCTGAATCGACACGTTGCCGACCAATTTTTCACTCCAAATCTGCTCCAATCAGAGCGCGCCTGGCTTTGTGACCATGGTTACCGTTACAGCTGTATTATGGGATGTACACATGGCAGCTTCCTCTGAGGAAATGCACAGAAACAGAAAACATTTACGGCGGGATGTTATTAAAGATTCGTGGTGTTTGACGCAGTGGGTGAGTCCTGGACGCGGTTTGCTGCTTTTAATCCCCTTCCAGCCGGCAGTTTAAACGACTCAACAGTTAATAAATGTCACGTTACCGGGTCTTAATGAAAGAAATAAACTGCAAGTTTGTTGTTTGAAGATTTTTAATTGATGTTTCGAAACATGAATAATGCAGTTCTAAAACTTTGTACTGTCCATTAAAGAAACCTCATTGTTTGTAGAGCAGACTTCAATGTTAAACCCGCAGGATTTGAATTGGGAATTGTATGGAGGACCAGGAGAGCCATTAAAAAAAAAAAGAAGAAAAAGAAAGAAAGAAAATTCTGACTGTTTTAAAATAAAAATGTAACTAATGCTATTACAAACCCCATTTAAAAAGCATTCTGTAAGTGAAAATTTTAAATTGAATTATTAGAGGGAATGGAAATTATATTCATTAATCTAGGGCTGCAACTAACAGATAGTTGCAAATTGATTAATCTGTTGATTATTTTCTCGATTAATCGATCAATAAATGATTACCTAAAGGTTTCTCAAAAATGATTTTTTACTGAATCAAACCAGGTGAAAGTAAAACTTTTCCTCTTGAGGAGTTCTGGATAAAGCACATTGATAAACAAAAAAATATATATTTTTTATCTTAAATGCAAAAAGTTTTGCAAAACAAAAATTATATTTATATATATATATATATATATATATTTTTTTTTTTTTTTTTACAATTTTCAAATAATTACTGCTCTAAGTGGGTCTCTTTGTCAGCTAAAGGCATGTTTTAGAGACTATATACTCCAGTGAAAGATTAATCGATTAGTAAATTAGTGGATGATTATTTCAATAACAGATTAATCATGATTAATTAATTATTTTATGCTATAATTTGAAAATGTATTTTCAAGTTCTCTTTCAAAATGGAGATATCAAAAACACAATTCATTAATCTTATTGTAAATAAAATAAAAAAATTCTGTTTTCTTTTACGACTCGAATTTTTAAATCCTTTTTGCTTCACATTATCCTTTCCATTTAGCATTTCTATGACTCTTCTAAACTCTGACTACAATAGGAGCGACAGATTTGCACTAACTTTGCTATTGCAGACAGAAGAGAAACTGAATAGCATCCCCATTTAGAAAGGAGAGGTCATAGTTCTGTATCAATGAATTTCATTAAGAACCTGTCTTATGAATGCTGGAGGATGTGTCAAAGTCTTGCCTTAAGTGCAGAAGTCTTCTTAAAGCACTTGCATCATCAGTAACTGCACTGGGTCTAGGCTCCTGGAAATACTATATGGACAGTATACAGTAATAAGAAAATGTAATGGATTTAAAATTGCAAGGTAAAACAAATAGAAAAGGAAGTTTGATAAGGAAATATATTACAATCAAATTTATGAATTGGGGTTTTTCAAATCTCCATTTAATAATAGGATTTAAAAAATATATTTTCAAATTTCAGTATTTAATTATGGATAAACAACTAAAATTCACCGTTCCTCTTTGATAATTCAATATAAAATGTGTGAGCTCCAATTTGCATTATATAATTTATAGAAAAATAAGCAACAAAAATAAACAGTTCTATGTAATATGTGCTAAATTGAATCTCCAATATCAAATTTTCAATACTGATGCAGCTAATTAGTCAATATCAGAGCTGATATTTGATTCATTTATCTGATAGGTCCATGTCTAATAGAGTGTATTATAATAGAAATAACACCAACCCAAATCTGAAAAACCCATAGAGGAAATAACAGTTTCTGTAAACACATCCAAATATTGTCTAAATATTCACCTATGTCCTTTAATTGTTAATGATTTCATTTTAATTATTATTATTTTATGTAAAAATGAACTAAATAAGGACTAATTGTGGAAACTTACTGTTAACTCAAATGTTTTTACATTAATTAACTTAAATACTTTCATTTTCAAGGCTCTAAATTATTTTAAATGTCATTTTACACAGGTTTAAAAATGTGTTTAAATGAAATTGTTTGCCCTGTAAGCCATTGGTTACTGCGCACTGACAAACAACCAAACCACATGGAGCTTAAATGCACCACTACGCACCCGATGGAACCGCTCTAGAGTTGCTGCAAAGGTGCAGCACAGTGGCACCAAGGCGCTTCCACTCTCAGTGGAAACTGTAGATGTGGGGCTCAGTTGCTCCATTTGGCTACATCTATAGGCCCCTTTGATATACATTGTCGATATGAAAAAAACCAAAGCATGACCAACAGATACTCATTTTAGGTACCTTCATAGTATTTTATTTTACTCCATCTCATATAGAACATGGGATAATTGTTCTTCATAACTGGATGTTTTTTTGTTTTTTTTTACTTTCTTTACCGGACAGAACTAATGAAAATATATATATGTTCTCTAAAGAATAACGGAGAAAGATTTAAATCTAATTGTTCACTTAGAGGAATATATAAATTTATGAGAGAAAGATAATTTGGAAATTGGAAATCCGTCTGTATAAAAGCGTATTTTTTTCACCTGCATTTAAGGGTTGTTTTAAAGTCGGGTTGCATGTCGAGTTTAGAAATAAATGCTTGTTTAGAGCTAATTTCTTATTTCATCTTGTATGCTTTAGGATTAAACCAACCCAGCCTGCCTTGTCAAAATTACCGCAGCCATCATGCCTGGTGATGATAAACCACAACAGACCCGCCACAGGAAGAAGAACAAAAAGTCCCGCTCCAAGGGGAAGAGTCCTGGCGGGAGTCCTCACGCTCCCATTCAAGACATCTTAGATGCACAAGATGATCTCATATCCTCCCATATTCTTCAGCCTTCTAAGAAGCTTCTGGAGGAGAGGCCCAAAGGTTCAGTCACCAAAGTGGAGGAGGAGTCGGCCATACTGATATGTCTTCAGGTGCTGTTCCCCTACCTGCTGGCTGGGATGGGGATGGTAATGGCTGGGATGGTGCTGGACAATGTACAGGTAAGTTTAACAACCTTTATCGTGAATTTCTGTTTTAACACCTTTTTTTTTTTCCCCAACTGGTAAAAATTGTCTGCTTTCCATGTAAACAATAGTCAAGGATAAAGGCAGGATAATGTTGGGAAGGAACAGGATAATATGGGTAAATCAGGACCAATATTATCATTGCAATATTAATTACAGTTAAAATTAAATAAATCTGGCCCTACAGCTTTTGTTTGACATTAGATAACTAAAAAATCTACCATATACAACTGTGTGTTTGTGTTGCAATGGATGGATATGTGGACTATTATAATATATTATATATTATAATATATAATATATAATTTATATCTGTGATTTAGCTCAAATGTCATGATTTTTACTAGCTTTATTTGCAAACTGGTTGCTAAAATCTAAAAACAACTTTAAGGCTCTTCACTTCCCCATTTCAAACTTCAGCATTCCTGGTTGTTTGGCTCCCATTTTTATCATGTATAAAAAATGAACGTGGACTACAGGACATCATTCAATTTATACAGATGCACCAACTAATCAGCCGGCCAATCAGCTGGCCCAGACTACAGATTTAATCTATTTCAGCAGATGTCTGTAAATCTAGTTATTGAATACAATTTTTATTTTATAATGAGAGCACTGCCTCTTGTGTTTTATAAACTACTTTATATTGTTTCACACATTGTTTAGTGTTTTTAATAACAGAGATTAGAATATTGGTGGTGTAATGTGATATACTGTAGGTTCAGTTAAGAAAATGGTACCCGCCATATTCAGCATCTCAATTTCATGCTTTAAAAAAAATCAGTGGTCAAACAAAAACTATGGATGGTTTGCCCAATTTCATACCCGTTTTAAGAAAGTTTTTTCCTTTCTTTAATTGACAAAAAGAACAACGTGACCATTAGAGTTTTGCTGAGCTTGACTGTAGGTGTGAATAGAGAAGGATTGTCTTTTTTAATGTCAAATCGAATGCAATGCTAGCTAGATGCATACAGGTAAACTTGCTGGTTGTTTCAGCTGATATGAATGATGCTGGTGAGATGAAAACGCTCCAGTAGAGCATCAAGGTGCATACACAGAGCCTTTCTTTAACAGAGTAGAACTCTGGTGGGTTAGCTCCTAGAAAGGTTTACTCCTGTTCTATTTCATCTCTGGAAGTTAATATTGATCCTAATATTGTTACTCGCCTGTTTTGACCAGTTTTAGACCAGGGCATGATTTGCTGATAAGTGAATGACTGAAAAAGCAAAATAAATGTGAAAGAAGCTAAATAAATCCGTGTATGGTATATTCTTTGTTTTTTTTCGTTTCAAAACAAAAACGAAAAAACTAAACAAGCATGTGGTTTTTCTGTTTTTCCGTTTTTAAAACCTACAGTAAATAGAAAAAAATGAAAAATCGAATTAATAGAAAATCAACAGCGTTTGAGTTTTGTTTTGCCATCTAAATGAAAATAAAATATGGTTGTTGTTTTAATATGTAGCGGTACCGGAAATGAAGTCGCTAAAGAAAAATAATTTACAGTGGATGAAGACGGCATCAAAACAAACCATTTCTAAACAAAAGGCAATGGCTCCACTTGAACCGTTTTCTGCCATAAGGTGCGTTGAATTAACAACAAAATAAAAGTTTGTCTTTGGTTTAACCATTGCAGTTAAAAAAATCCCAAAACGTACCCTTTTTTTATTTTTGTAAATGCCGTTTTTCTAATTTCGTTTTAAAAACAGAAAAACAAAACACCACATGCTTGTTTTGTTTTTCGTTTTTGTTTTGAAACGAAAAACAAAAGAACGAACCATACACGGATTATGGTGCTGTTTTGTTTAGTTTTGGTCTGCTAATCTAAAGGGGTTAGATATTATAACTCCCCCATGGTTGGTTGTTTTTTTGCCCACTTGGATATTTTCAGGTACTTTTAATCTGTTTTAACTAAAAGGTCAAACATACTTTCTAATTTCCCTCAGATTAAGAGTATTTAATTTGCGTAGTAGCCCAAAAATAGCTGTTACCATTTTGCTTTTTGTATTGGAAAAGTTGTTTTTTCTGAACTTAAATAAAATTGCAGTTTGTGGTCAGCAGTAGATAAGCAGTGCTTTGCTAAGCTGGAATATTATGGTTATATTGTGTTTGGTTACATACTGAATGTGGGCAGAGGCAGGGGAGACAGATAATGCAGTGGTGTGCAATAATATACAATATTATTGTATTATGAGTGCAATAATGATAGTACTGTGCAATCCGTCTTTCTTCTTTAAGGCCCCATTTTAACTTTGTTTAGAATTCTGCTGCTGGTTTGAAAGTCAAATCCTTTCCCTGGTGCATTCAGAGTTTCTGAACAGAATGACCAAGCAGAATACAGAAACAGCTGCTCCACTCTGAGCACTTTGTGTTTGAGTGCCTTTGATTGGATTATTTTTTTTCTATAACATTAAGATAACAAGCCTCCCTTGTCTTTGTGCTGCTGGTGTCCTGAACATCTACAGCTCGTGGCTCTATGTACAGCAAAATCTAACAGGTTTTCCTCTGGAGTTTCCCATTTTTAGCTTCATAGGTTAATTCTGACCCACTCTCTCATCCCTGCTGAGGAAAACCATGCCAATAACCACATTGTTGCTGCTATCCATAGGATTGCCATCCAAATGGTAGGTTGATAGATTCAAACCAGCCAAAGACAAAACCATATAGTGACAACCTGAGTAAGAACAATTAGGGCATGCATAATATTAAGATCTTATGTAATATTTGAATGGAGGGCGTGGCTGTGCATTCTAAGGATGTAAAATGGATGTAGGAAATGTGTGATTTATCTATCGCTGAACGATATTGCAAAAAAAGCAAACTTGTGCTTATTTTCAACTGATATTGCAATTATTTTATTGAGATTCTTCTTTACACTGAGCATGTAGATGTTTCCGTTTTCATGAAAGCCTTGAAATCTTGCTTGTCCAGAGTCTGTAATTACAGGACTTTACTGTAACGGTTGTGTGAAAAAGTTCTTCCTTCTACTATCATGCATTGATCTGCAAGCTAGCTGCAATTCTTTCTTCCCTTCTGAGTGGCATCATACCCACTCTAGGCAAGGCAAGGCAAGGCAAGGCAAATTTATTTGTATAGCACAATTCAGTACAAAGACAATGCAAAGTGCTTTACATGATTAAAATAAAGGAAGATAAAACAGAATCAAAGCAAGTAGGAAAAAAAAAATAAATAAAAAGTCTAAGTGTAGTACCACCATAAGGGCTGAAGGGATAAATTCAGTGTTTTGCTCTTTTAAGATGTAATGTGACTAAAATTTAGTGCCTCTGCGATTTGAATATTTTGTTTTTCTAAATTGCAATTATATTGTAAATGCATATTGTAATATTGTAAATGCATTTCCTTTAATTTTCCTTTTTTATCCATTATTTCTCTGTGGTAAAACAAAACCGGTTTATTTTTCTTAAATAATGCCAAAGTTATTAGGAAATTACATTGTGCATTTGGAACAAAATCCTTACCCCCCAATCCTAAACAGTTTTGTTCTTTTAATCTGGATTTTCTGGATAGGACAGATGCGGTTCAGGAGGAGCACAATATTGGTAAGATCCTCCCTCGCTTTATCGAATACTACTTAGGGATTTCATCCCATTGATCAAAGAGGAGGGAATTCTTCAAAGTCACTGAGTTGATGCAATCAGATTTGTATCCATGGATAGAAAACTTTTAATCTGTTTGGATTATTTGGTTGAATTGTCTGAAAATTGCATGTGTTGTAAATTGGTACTATATAAATAAACAGAATTTAATTCTTCAAAAGTCAACCAATGAGTTTGCTCTGGTTACTCTGGTAGCACAAAATGCCAGAAGGTTACAGTAGGGTGCAGGTCAGGACTGCAGAGGCTATCCTCTCCCAGCTGAAGCTCCTGATCTGTTCTATGAGACGTTGTTCAAATTAACATCTTGGATGATAGTTTGGTTCCTAAGAAGGGAGATAAAGGAGTTACAATCTGATTTTATCTTATTGCTTTTGCTTTTAAATATAAGTCTCATTTTCCAGTCAGTGAGTTTCTACTCGACTGCTCAACCCACACATACATTCATCCTACAAATATATGAGGAAATAAATCTTCACTCCTAGATTTACTGCCAAGAAAAATTGGTACATCAGTAAAAAATATCACTTTTTATTTGAACAATATCTTTCCAATTGGAGGGACTTTCAATTACCTTTTATTCAATAACAATTATAGATTGAAGTCACTGAAGCCTATGATACGAATAACAGCATTTTGTTGATAGGAAAAATCTAAGAAAAGTTAGGAGAAAGATGATTAAAAACCCACCAGTATGCTCGTTTAAATATTCCCAAATAATAAAAGATTAATCCAGTTAATCGAGATTAATTGATTACTCAAATAAACGTCAATTAATTAGAAACCGATTAATCGTCAACTTGAGTATAAAACATGCCTGTTGCTGACAGAGCGACCAAATTAGAGCAGTAATTGTACCAAAATGATAAAAAAATATATAAACATTTTACAAAAAATTGTAATTTAATCTGTCATTATACTCTATCCAGTACGCCGGAGTATTAAGGCTAGGCTTCAGATTCTTATATATATATATATATATATATATATATATATATATATATATATATATATATATATATATATATATATACTTTATTTACTTTTTTCGAGAACAAAGTCAAAATATTACGACAATAGAGTCATAAAATTACCAGAATAAAGTCGCCACATAATGAGAATAAAGTCGTAACATTATGTTAATAAAGTCATAAAATTACAAGCATAAAGTCACAACATTACGAGAATAAAGTTGTATTTTATGGCAACTCCGACAGGAAGCCCTTTCTTCCCTAAAATGAGGAATGTGGAGCATCATGTGAAGTTATACTTTGGCATCGGTTTGATAAGTAAGGAAATCTTTTAGCACCAGCATCAAACTGGGCAGAAGGTCAAAGTGGACTCTGGTTGCTGTTTGGTTCCACT